TTATTTGCTTTGGAGAGAGAGAGAGCACAAGTAGGGGAGGGACAGAGAGAGAGAAGGAGACACAGACTCTGAAGCAGGCTCCAGGCTCCTAGCTGTCAGCACAGAGCCTGACGCAGGTCTCAAATCCACAAACCGTGAGATCATGACCTGAGCCAAAGTTGGACGCTTAACCCACTGAGCCGCCCAGGCGCCCCTGGGCTGTGTTCTTTTACACAGTATCTGGTCAGCCCAGACCCCACTCCCTCTCTTCCTACCTCTCTCTCTTCACCCTGCCTGTGAATCTGCAGTCATCTGTTTCTGGCTCTCCCTGGTTCCTTGTCTCTGTTTCCGTCCTTTAGTGTCTGTGTCTCTGCCTCTGGCTCTCCCTCTCAACCTGGCCCTTGTTCTCTCTTTACCTCTCTCCATCTCCTTCGCCTTTGTGGAGACCTGTTTTCCCCGGGGCAGGAAACCTTGGCTGGGAGCCCTTTGCTCTTTTCCAGGATCTGTGACTTTCTCTGCCCATGTGTGTGGCTTCGTCAAGCCTGTCACTCTTCACGGAGGTCAGACAGGCATTTCCCTCTGGACTTTGCGGACAATCACCTGGGTGACCGTCTCTCCTGGGGAGTGGTGCTTTATCCCGGAGTCATGATGGCTACTGAGCACCCAACTCCTTCCTTAACCCTCAACATTCTCTCCAACAGCGTTGAAAGCTGGAGCCTGCCCTCCTGTAAAACCTGGTCGATGCCTTAACGTATTTGAGACCCCTGAGTGCCAGAGTGACTGGCAGTGTCCAGGGAGGAAGATCTGCTGCTCTGATGCTTGCGGAATCAGATGCCTGGACCCTGTCATCTCTGACCAAAGTGAGGAGGGGGGAGGACTCACGGGAAGGGGGTGAGCCCGAGAAGGCGGCACCTCGGGGGACGGGACCGGGTGCTGGTCCTGCCAGGTCTCCTCCTCCCCAGGAACTGTGGAGCCAAATTTGTCAGCTGGTCAGGGAGTCACAGTGTCCCAGACAGCAATTTACTCACCCGGCTGGTGAAACAGCCAGCGTGTCGGGAGGTCAGTTTTTCAGTCTATAGTCACCTGGTCGTTCAGGTAAGCAGGCAGTTGGTAGCCACCCATCCAGTCAGCACTGGGCAACTGGTCGCCTTCGTGGAGAGGGGGCCCGATGTCAGGGGAGACCCAGATCCTGCCGTCAGGAGATACAGGGGCCCTGGGAAGGAAGAGGTGGTGCTGGGGATGGAGAAGAGAGGATTCTCCCTGCGCACTTGGGCTGGGGCTGAGTCCAGGAAGCAGGGGGCGGCGCCCGAGGCATAAGGCTTCTGACCTGTGGCCCTACTTTCACCAGCGTGTATGAAGCCTGGCAAGTGTCCTGTGGTCAATGGCCGGTGTCTGATCCTCAATCCCCCCAACCACTGTGAGACAGACCAACAGTGCGTGGGTGACTTCAAGTGCTGTAGGGGCCTGTGCGGGAAAGCCTGCGTGGAACCTGAATAAGGTAAGGAGGGGACCCGGGGCCAACTTTCCCCTGCCCACCAGTCCTCTCTGTTCCAAGCCTCTGGTGGCCCTTGTGTATGAGCAGGGGGACTCCTGATCTCTCTCCCAGGACAGCTTCTGCTTAGCCCCGTTGTCCTTCAAGGGCACCGCTCTCCAGGCCCCAGGGCCAGGATTTCCATAGCATCACTCACGGCTTTGCTTCTATTCGAGCCCCTCTGAGTGAGGACCCCCCGGCAAGTCTGAGTCTCAGTTTCCTTATCTGTAAAACGGACATAATGAAAGCGCTTTGTAAAGCACTGTGTGCGCTAAGAATTTATTATTAAGATGATCTCCAGCATATTGTCTAGGGTCAAAGCCAAAGGATCAGTGGATTTTGAGGCTTAAATCCAGCTTAATGCTCTGAGTTTAGAGTTCTATACTAAAATTGAGACTTGAACTCAGTCTCCGGATGCCACGACTCTTTCGACTATATCACCACCTTGTTATTTTCTTTGTCTCAGGGAAGTTTCTTGGGGGAAGAATGGGGAGATAATTTGTCTGGTTCCTGTATTGAAGCCCTGATCTGATTTTCTCTCGTAGCCTGATTCCTGTCGTTCAGAAGAGGTTCTGGATTCCTAGTCTGTGGTCTGGGGCTCGGATCACTGGGGCACTCCATGGCGAAGACTTGGTTCTACCATTAAGATCTTCTTGGGGGGAAGGCGTGGCACACAGTAGGCTTTCAGGAAATTGGTGAATAAATAAATGAGCATATTTCTTTGTGTCCATGTGCTTCTGTGGTTTGCCGGGGCTGCGGGGCTTGGGACGTGATGACGTGATGACGGAATGTGTGGATGTGAGGCCTCCCTCCTGCACATACGGAGTGGAAGGGGGAGGCTTCGGGGCCAGATAGACGTGAATTTACATCATGAGTCTGAGAACACCGGTTCTGCGATTTTGGACACGTGACTTTACCTCATCCATCTTAATTTCTTTAGCTGCAAAGTGGCAATAAAAATCGCTTCCTCGTGTGTTTGGAGCACTGGGGTATGCAATGTGTATGAAATGAAAAGCAACGTTGCTAGGCCACAGCAGCCTCAAAAAAAAGTGGATACTTGCCTTCTGTGGTGATTTTGAGCTTCTTGTATTTCCCTTCTCTCCCAAGACACGATTTCTTTTTCCTTAAAATAAGTGTTGAGAAGAACAACACACTAATTATCGGTCCTGAGAGAGGACTCCAGACCCTTCTGCCCATTGCATCCTGGTATCGGAGTCTCCAAGGAAAGCACAATGCGGTCAAGCACTGGGTAAAACAATGTCTTATTTACCTAGAAAAGAAACAGCAAGATCACCTTCCACCTTGGGCTCCACTCCCTCCCCATGGCCTGCAAGTTTCTCCCAGGAGCTGATGCCGGGCAATTTGCACCACCCCTCCCCCCACCTCCACCCCTCTCGTGCCACAGAAGGAGGCTCCACTCTCTCCCCAAGCACGACACACAGCAGTGGGGTTGGCCAGAGGCTCTGGCACACACATGTGCACAGAACAGAGGAGCCTACGCTGAAGCTGGACGCAGGGAAAGGTACTCGAGCACCTTATCTCTTGGTAAGTAGGTATTCCAAGCCCAAGGCCGTTCTTATGCAGCTGAGTGGGGGACGCATGCGTGGGGCTGTCTTTCCCCACAATGAGAGTATTGTCACGGCGGGTCACGTTATGGCAGCTGCTGGCCAGTAGCACATGAGAGAGATGTTGTTCTTGGCCCCATGAAGCAAAGAGTTAACAGGAGCTGGACTCCCAGAACTCAGGGGAAGCAGGGAACCGTGCTCCCCATTCCTCTGTGCTCTTTGGAGCCCAAAGGAAGCAGAGAACTTGATTGGACTGTGACATACAAAAATGGACGAGACACAATTGTAGTTCAGTCTTTTCCTGGAAAATGTCACTGATCCGGAAAAAGCATTCCACGTACTACACGCAACCAATGTTCTAAGAGAAGCAATTGGATGTATTGACTTGACTTTCAGGAAAGAGGGGAAAGAGGAAGTGCCATTTTATTTATGCAGAGAGTGGGGTGGCACCCCCCTCCCACCGGGTTGCCTCCCAGTGACCTTCACCTCTTAGGATTCACGCCCTCGTGTGGGTCCTCCCATGTTTTTGCATGGTGGGCTCACGTGACAAATAAATTATTGCAGAGTGAGAGACAGTTATGTCTTGATGAGATGAGATGGGTAAAAGGTGGCACCTTCCATCTGGGGAGCACACGCCCTCTCTTTGATCACCTGCTCTGGCACAACTCAGCCACCATGTCACGAAGACACTCAGCCATCTGTGGCCTGGCCCATCACGTAAGGAAATAATGGGTCTGGTCAACAGCCTGAGAGGAACTGAGGCTCACCAACAAACACGTGAGGGAGCGTGCAGTTTTCAGCCCCAGTCTAGTCTTTTTTTTTTTTTTTTTTTTTTTTAGTTTTATTTATTTATTTTGAGAGAAAGAAAAAGCATGATCAGGAAGGGGAGGGGCGGAGAGAGAGGAGAGAGTGAGAATCCCACGTAGGCTCTGCACTGCCAGAGCCCAATGTGGGGCTTGAACCCACAAACCATGAGATCATGACCTGAGTCGAAGTGGAGCGCTTAAACGACTGAGCCACCCAAATGCCCCCACCCCAGTCTAGTCTTGAAATGACTGTAGTCCCAGCACACAGCTCGATTATAACCTTGTGACAGACCGTGACTCAGAAGCAGCCAGTGAAGCTACTCCCGGCTTCCTGACCCTCCAACTGTGAGACAATGTTTATGATTTTAAGGTGCTAAGTTTGGGGGCAATTTGTTATGCAGCAATAGATACCTAATTCAAGGAGGTCAGCAAAAATCTGCTATTGCAACCAAATACGGACAGTAGAAGAAAAGATAATTATAAGGCAATGTCATTTTCTCTGAACAAAGTTGGGAACATCCTAAATAAGATGTTAAAACTTAGAATTCATGAAAGTTTAAAGAGTTTTCAAAGAAGTCCAACATGAATTCTTTATTAAAATTAAGAATAGAAATGAGAGGCGCCTGGGTGGTTCAGTCAGTTAAGCATCCAACTCTTGGTTTTGGCTCAGGTCGTGATCTCACAGTTTGTGAGTTTGAGCCCCATGTCGGGCTCTGTGACGACAGTGTGGAGCCTGCTTGGGATTCTCTCTCTCCCTCTCTGTCTGCCCCTCCCCTGTGTGCATGCATGTGAGCACTCTCTCTCAAAATACATAGATAAAAACTTAAAAAAAAAACCTAAAAAAAGAATAGAAATGAAAGGACAGAAATTAACTAAAAAAAAACAGGAAACCTACCTGAAACTATAGCAAAACCCACATTCAGCTGAATTTTCAGAGTTACTGTCACTAAAATCAGAAACAGAATAAGGATCACTGCAATTTTCCAACAGTGTATGAGATATAGCAACCTATGCAGTGAGATGAGATCAGGGATTAGGTATGTAAGAGCAGAAAGAAAGATACTAAACTGTCAGTATTTGTGGATAGTATCATTTCCTACCTAACAGTTGAAGATATTCAATAAAGTTGATGAAATAAGTTTCATCAGAGTTGCTGGATATACAACTCTGATGTATAAAATTTTACAGCATTTCTCCCATTATGTATAATGAATCAGAAATAATAGAAAGTAGAGATAATTAATCAAATTAAAAAACCCTACAATTCACCTAGGAATGAATCTAAAAATTATGCCAGACCTTGTGGATTAAAGAACAAATTTGTTGAAGGTCTAAAATAAGAACTGAACAGAGAAAAAAATGTTTATGTGTGGGAAGACCCAATAAGGTCAAGATTATAACTCATTAAAGGATCATTTATAAATTCAATGTAACTGTAATAAAAATTCCAACATGATTTTTTAAGTTTATTTCTTTATTTTGAGAAAGGGAGAGAGAGAGCAGGAGAGCACAAGCAGGGGAGGGGCAAAGAGAGAGGGAGAGAGAGAATCCCAAGCAGGCTCTGCACTGTTACTGTGGAGCCCAACTTGGGGCTTGAACTCATGATCCATGAGATCACGACCTGAGCTGAAGTCAGGAGTTGGAGGCTTAATTCGCTGAACCACCCAGGTGCCCCTAACGATTTTTTAAACACAACTTGACAAAGTGATCCTACAGTTAATATATTAGTAGAAAGTTTGCAAAAGGACCAAGAACATTTTTTAAAAGTATAACAATAGGAGTAATCCAGACCAGGTATCAAAATGTTATTGATTATATTAATTATTATTATTATTATTTGTTATTTTTTTTTAGAAAGAGTGAGCAGGGGAGAGGGGCAGAAAGGGGGAGAAAGACTTAAAACATCTTTTTAAAAAATTTTTTTAATGTTTATTTATTTTTTAGAGAGAGAATGAAAGAGAGAGAGAGAGGGCAGAAGAGGGGAAGAGAGAGAGGGAGAGAGAATCCCAAGTAGGCTCCCTACTGTTAGTACAGAGTTGGACACAGGGCTCGATCTTACTAACCAAATCATGAGATCATGACCTAAGCCGAGATCAAGAGATACTTAACCAACTGAGCCACCCAGGTGCCCTGAGAGAGAGAGAAAGAGAGAGAGAGACAGAGACAGAGAAAGAGAGAGAGAGAAAGAGAAACTTAAGCAGGCTTCAACTCAGTGTGGAGCCTGATGCAGGGCTTGATCCCATGACCCTTGGGATCATGACCTGACCTGAAGTCAAGAGTCAGGTGCTCAACCAACTGAGCCACCATTAATTAATGGAAGATGATGTTGCTACAAGAATAAACAAATAGCCTAATGGAACAGAACAGAATATCTGAAAGGAAATCTGTGCATTTGTGGACATTTGTTATATAACAAGGAGGAATTTTTACAATTGCTTAGGGCAAAACTCTAATAATGAAATCAATTGGTTTTTTTTTTTTAAGTTCACACTAACAACTTTTTACTGAATTTAACAGTAATCTTTAACACAATGTATTAGTCAGGGTTCTCCAGAGAAACAGAACCAGCAATTTTCTTTCTCCCTTCTTTCCTTC